TGTGTGTGTGTGTGTGTGTGTGTGTGTGTGTGTGTGTGTGTGTGTGTGTGTGTGTGGCAGTCGTCTAGACTGTCTGAATGTGAATGAATGCAAAAATAGCTACTTTCATGGTATTTTTTTAAGGCACTGAGGAATATAAAAACTGCTACGCTTAATTCGGAAGCATCAGTTGGTCTTATCACTGTTAACGACGAATACAAACGAGCCATGGTAGTGCCACCACCGACATCGGACAGTGATATTCAGCCGAAGAAGTGCGTGCTGGTTGATGACGGTATCACGGTGGAATGTTCCGAAAATTTGTGTGGCATTGATGGTTTAGGTAATCTTAAATTTTAACCCCTTTTTTTTGCTATCATTCTATTGTTTCAGTGATGTCGAAATTTCCGTACAGGAAATGCGTACGGTTTTTGTGATCATAAATTGTATTTCACGGCGCACTACAAAACGTTAGCTGCCTGAACAGTGCTAATAATGCAAAAATTGTCGTGCAACAGTAAATGAATGATTCCAGATGGGAAATTCTGAACGAGCTGCGTTCTGTGATTTGCTATAGCTTGGTAGTGAAGATTTCATGGGGGAGCCAATGAGTGTGAATCAAATTTTGAGGGGTTGCTATGGAGTCATAATTACGTTTGAAAGCATTTTTTCATCTTCAAATTATCTGAATTTCTGGCAGTTTCATGAAGGCGCCTTTTTTTGGAACATTGGGGATGACGTTTATAAACAGGTGGGCACTGATTGGAATTGTGAAATCCAGAATCGTGGATCGGACCTAGCTGAGTCTGACGCATGGAAGCATTAATAAAAAAAAAAAATCATAAGATCTGCACTCAAATTATCCAGGCAGTGTTGATTTTCTTGATAACAAAGATTACTGGACAGCTGTGAAACAATTTACAGCTTAGTCGTATCATATACGTTGTTATTTTCACACCTTTCTTATAAGCGTGAATGACCGCTGATTTTTGTTACAGGAGGCACCGATGGATTTTTGATCCGTACATGCCATCAGATGTCTGTGCAACTGCAATTCGATAGTGATGCGGTGGTGCTCGATGCAGATTTGGAGGAAGCACTCTTGGCATCAGATTCTCCGGCCAAAGTTATCCTTTCCGAGTACAAGATGGTACGTTATTCCCTTCAAAGAACGTTTTTTGACGAACCTTTTTATCCTCAAATAACTGATTGGTGTAGTCTTTGCCTTAATGTAATGTCACTTGCTGCGTACCGTACCAGACAGCTGTTTTACCGTGCACGCATTGATTTTCACTATAATTTTCAGGACGGCACTTACATTGTTAATGAAATTACACTTGCAAACGGCACAACAGTGAAGGCCAAATGTTTGGAAGCGGAAATCAATTCTGTTGAAATGGGCTCGCAGGAGGAACTGCTAGAATGTGAACAGACACAGAGTTCCGGCGACAGCTTGCTACAAGGTCACATATTTAAATTTATGGTATTGTCAAAAAACAGTAAATGGCCAACGCACGGGCTGCGCATGCGAAGATGCGTTTTTTGCACAGTTCCCCGCAGCTTTTGTTGCTACCGGCGCCGGCTTTTTCGGCAAGTGCTTCTAACTAAAAAAAGTTAAGACTGGCCGCAAGAACTGTTACAAAACATCTCCTTAAAGTTTCAGCTTTCTAGCTTCGCTGGCACCTGAGTTAGCAACTTACTGGAACAAAACTTTCACGGGCCTGTGCGTGTTTACCAAACATGCCCTAGAGCTGAGTTCGGGCTAATGAAACTTAGATGGGCGGGATGTATTTCTTAAAATTGCAGTCCTTTAGCTTCTCAGGCACTTGAGTTATCAACTTACCCGGAAAAAATTTTGGCGGACCCGTGTGTGGATACCACGCTTGCCCGGGGGCAGGGTTTGAGCTCACTGATACCCACTTGGACGGAGGGCATTCCCCTAAGACTTCAGCCTTCTGGCTTTTCAGATCCTCGAGTTATGAACTTACACGAAAAGAATTTTGGCGGGCCCTTGCGCGGGTACCACGCAGGTGATGGCGCCAATTTTGGGGATTGGGGCTCGTACGTGCATGTAGATTATGTCCCCAAAGTTTCAGCCCCCGTGTATGCGATTATCACGATTTTTCGTGATAATCGCACACACGGACACACAGTCAACCCCTCGTCAGTATGCGTTTTCTGCATTGCATAGCTGCAAAAAAACGCATAAAAATGAAAATCACTTACCATCGGCTGTATGTGAGAGGCAGAGGCATTCGGAAGTAGTCCGAGAAGTAGTAGTTGACGGAAGTTACACCCACTTCCACTGCTGTCGATGGCTTCTTCACTGGTGCAGATGATGACGAGTGTGGTACTGTAGGTGTAGAAAAACCTTGTTACGAATCTGTTCCTTTTAGCGTACCGACATTCCGTCACCAGTAATTCACATCCTCAAACAGCAGACTCCTGCTTCATCTCTCAGTGCGGTAAAGTGTTCCGCTTTTCATTTGGCGGATGGTCAGGTTATCGGTAGTAAAATTCGAAATTTCGAAGAGCACTTTAATCGACACTTGACTTGAAGAAGGGATAGAGCAGTTGGCGAAAATCAAAAACTGTTTTTTCGTACATCAACAATTTGCTTACTGGCCAGTTAGACTTCTCGATGATCAGCAGCCAAGAGAGCAAGTTGTATTCCGAGTAATTATAGCATATAGGGCCGTATTTTCGCCTTATACCAGCTAGTGGAAAGCACAGCAGTGTACCAACTCTCCCTTTCTCTCTTTTATTCGTTGATTACAAAAAAGCGGTCAGTAACGCAAAATTGAATGCCGTTTTCACTCTTGTAGATGAAGATGGCAAAGATAATGTTAGAAATGTGGAAATTGTCGAAAAAATGAACATGGGCCGTTCAACAGACGGTTTGTTTTTTATGCGTTTTTTGCAGCTGTGCAATGCAAAAACGCATATTGTCGAGGGGTTGTCGGTGTGTGTGTGTCTATGTGTGCGTTTGTAGCGAGTTTTCATCTCGAGATCCACAAAAGCTACAATGGTGACTTAATCTACACATACTTGCGAGCTTGTATCCTCAAAATGGGCGCTGAGGTCCGCGTGGTCCTCACGTAGGGACACGTGGAAGTTTTTTTGGCGGGAAAGCGTTTTCGGGAACGGCCCATGGTAGGAGGCTGGAACTTCACAGAGATGTCCCTTGGCAGCGTTTAATCCAAGGATTTTAAATGCGGCCTTCACGCACCTTCAGGTATCACGTACGCACACGTCAAAGCGAACTCCAGATTTAAGCTGACCGGTATGCTGCAGGGAGCTGCAATTCTGCAGCGTTACTTGTCGCCTACTGTTGTGCCCGTGAAAGTAAATTACTTGTCAGCTGTTCTGCATCTTACGTACGAACACGTGAAGATTTCACGCATGCACTTTTGTGACTTCAGAATTGGACCAGCCAGAGGACTTGGACTTTCTGAGCATAGCCGACTATGACCTTTAACCAAGTGCACGCAAGAACGACTTACGCATCACTTTCACGTGTCACGTATGTTTCACGTTGTGCACACATGAAATTTGACGTAACTCCGCAACCAGAGCAGCTGGAGTGCTGAAACTTTCGGAGCGCTACCCATGACCCTGTTTGAGCAGGCGCGAGCGGCGAAAGCGTTCACTTAGCCTCTCACGTGCAAACACGTGAAGTTTGACGTGCAGCCGAAGCATCTAGAGCGCTGAATCTTCTGGGCATGAATTGGGAGTCATTGTAATAATTTCTAACAGACGTGATGGCCAGTTCCAATTCTTTTAGCTAGAAGTATCTGCCAGGAAGAACGTGCCAGTGGCGAAAAAAACCTGCGGGAGGAACTGTGCAAAAAACGCATCCTCGTACCGGCAGCCGGTACGTTTTCTACTAAGTGTTAAATCTCTGTTTCTAATGAAAGGAAAATTAGGCACGATGATGCGTTCAAGCTTTTCACAGTCTGTCTCGAGATGATATTTCGTAAACTTGACTGTAAAGGTGACTTGGCTGTCATTGGCAAGCAGTTAAGCCAGACATTTTCCTGTCGCGGGTCGAGTAACTCGCGCAAGATAAGTGGAATGTTGCAGGAGCCTGACGCATGGAGTAAGAAAATTGCATTGAGAGCAAAGGTGATACGGAAAAGTGGTGTGCTCACAGCCAGATTTCGGATAGACGATATTAAGTAGATTGCAGCTTTCAGGCCAATCCTGAAAGTGCAGATGGCAGGATGCACAAGTGCAGGAGAAAGTAAAGAAGAGAGTGAGATAAGACGTTTCGGTCCATTAAGTCGTATACGTCTTAACACTGCGACTGGACCTCGTCTGTATGACGGTTGCAGCGCGCAAGGAAGATGAAGGAAGAGGAGGAAGAAGGGGAAAGAGCAAAGGAAGAAGAAAAAAGAAGACAGAATAGGGAAAAATGTGGAAACTGGAGGGAAAGGGGGGGAAGAGGGAGGTGGGAGAAGGTGCAGGAGACGTGGGTAAAAAAGTTTAAAAGGGTTGAAAAAGGAACGGAAGCAAACCTCGATGGTGGAGGTTTTGCCGTTGGCACTGTCGTCGCCGCCGTGTTTGCTGCGCTTGGTGGTGACAATGTCTGGAATAGGAAACAGATGTATGAGGCACGAGGGAAGAGGTGAGCCGACAGAGTGACGCGGCGTATTTAACAACCAAGAGCATTAAATCATGCGAGTAGGTAGCGTATCAGGCGGCGACAATGTGGTGCAGTTGGAGGAAAATATTGGGCGAGACGCAGTCGATTTTTGTGTATAAAGGCACCAATTAGCCTTCGAAGACGATCGGGTGGGAAGCCCTTTGCGGAATAGTCAACAAGCAGACGATGTGCCGAAAATATGAATCCCTGACGGAAGGACCCAGTGCGCAGATATCGCATTATTTGACCATAAATCGTGCGATCATGGACCGATGGGTGCACGTTGCTTAGAAGGGAAGAAAACCTATTAATGGGGAAAGCGAAGTGGTGACTTTTACAACAAAAAGTGGTTCCTATGCGAAGGTCGTATCTATGGTGAAGGTCATATCTAAGTAGTCAATGAAAATACCAGAGCCAGTGATTTCAATGTCGAGATATTGGCCATATATGCGCTGCAGGGGTGAATGAAAATCTGGACAGTTAAGCATAAGCAGATCGTCGGCGTATCGACAAAGAAGGACTGGAGGATTGCTGGGGATCCTGCTGAACTTAAATTCGAGTACCGAAAGGGTGAAATCGGCGATATCAGAGCTTGCGTTACCTCCCGTAGGGATACCCTTAACCTGTTGAAAAGATGTAACCGCTAAAAAATGCATAGGCTTCGCCAACTACCGGACGCAGGATACTGCCTATTTCCGTGAAAGAAAAGATTGTGCCGTAACCAAATGATCTTGTGTAGCTAACATAACGAATAGCCCTGGTGGGGAATGTAGAGCGCCGGCGTGAGCATTGTGAGAGCAGAAAGAGAACAGATAGCGAACGCGTCATAAATAACGTGGTGAGGCAGTTTCGTAAACAGGCTTGAGAAATCTGCAGTATGAAAGTTTTGGGCAAGGCCGCAACTGTTAACGAATGCGATGATCTCGCTAGAGTTTCGGACGCTGTAATAAGGGGGTTTGCACAACCTGCGCTGTAATACCGAAGCATAGCTATGGAAATGTCGGCAGAAAAACTGCAGTACGCGATGAAGAAGAATACTTAAAGGCTTCATACTGGAACGTACGGCGAAAGCGATGAATCGGAAGCTATAGGTGGCCTTGTGAAACTTAGACACAGCATAGATTAGGAGTAGGACCTTGTTTACATCACCCAATTGAAGCTGGTACCTCTAGAGGAGGAGACCGTGGCGAGTTAGAATATGAGAAGCAGTATCGTTAACAGGGTTGTAGGTATCATTACCGATAACGTCACCACTGTCCAACATTCCTAGTTCCTGTCTGAGCACACTATGTAAAGCGACTTGCAAGTGAAAGCGAAATTGTTAGGTGCTTTGTCGGCAGGCGTAATAACTAGTGAACGCCGTTGACACTGAGGTCGCGGTAAGAGGGTGGAGGAGCTGACATTGCAAAGAGGACGACCATTAATATAGAAACTGTCTAGGAGGCGGCGAGCGTAAAACAGCACATCGTCACGGTAAGACATAGCACTAAACGGTTTTATACGATCTTTGCGGACGATGAACCGAATATATGCTGTGATTACGGTGGCAGAGCTTCTGAAGATGTCAGTAGGGTGTAGATTTTGAGGCAACCGGTAATTGCATCCTAAACTGAAACAGTTAATACTGGGGGAGTTAACAGCTATGTCTATTTTGCCTAAGAAGTTAATGTGTGCAACAGTCTCTAGCTAGAGAATGTACGTGGGAAGGGCTTGTTAGCACAAATTTTTTATCAATGTTGAAGTCCTCAAAGTTTCGAACCGGAAAAATTCTCTCTGCCGTTTCCATTACTAAGTTCTGCGAAGTATTGGTTTGAAACGTGATCACTGGCGAAAGCGAAAAAGCGACCATGTAACATAAAGAGTAGTGGAGCGAAGTATGCTTATGTAACTCTTCGTTTGAACAGCCAGGCTGTTCGTCAGATGAGCAGTGTGTAGAATATCAGTGCAACTACGCGAGAAAGTAGATCATAAGCACCCGGACATACTGCCGTTTCGGTTGGACGTTGTACATTAGCGACTGATACTCACAGGATTACCTAATCGACCCGTCGGGTGGATTAGGGGGTCCTTCTGGTATGTGGCATGTGGGAGCGTGTCCTTATGGATCCCTGCACCTTTTATCAGGCAGTTTTGGTATTTTAATTAAGCAGCACTTAATTGTAGTTGTCTTGAATAACGAATGTATTTAGAGCTTGTTAACTGTCTGTTGCTCTTTTTAGATGGAAAAGTAACGGGTGCGTTCGTGACATCTGTTTCATCCGAGCCATCTGCGACTATCATTGAAACTGAACAACATCAGTTGATGGAAGAAAATGGCACCTTCTCGAAGCCGGAGGTTTATTTTTGATTGTTTCATTTTGTCCTGTTAAATTT